GAACACTCCATTATTACCTATTCAGAAGCCAGGGTCTAATGAGTACTGTCCTGTAAAAGATTTAAGAGCAGTTAATGATGCAGTGGTCAATATACACCCAGTGGTACCCAACCCCTATAATTTGCTTGCCTTGATTCCCACTATACAGTTCTGGATCTCAAAAATGCCTTCTTTTGCCTCTGAGTCTCTGCTGAAAGCCAGTGTATCTTTGCTTTCCAATAGGAAGGTGCAATTGCAGGATCAAAACGTCAGATGACCTGGACCAGGTTGCCACAGGGTTTTAAAAATTCTCCAACCCTATTTGGATCCGCCTTAAGTCAGGATTTGCAAGACTTCCAATGCATCCCAGGAAAATGTGTACTGCTCCATTATGTGGATGATCTCCTAATAGCTGCAATCACAAAGGTCACAATGTGCCAACAAGTGATTCATGATCTTCTTCATATCCTATGGAGGGCAGGATACAAGGTGCAACTTTGTCAGTCTACTGTCAAGTATTTAGGATTCCATATTTAAGAGGGTCAAAGAACAATGGGACCTGAAAGAAAATAATCTGTATGCCGCATACCCACACCGAAAAGCAAAAGACAAGTTCGAGAATTTCTGGGAGCAGCTGGATTCTATCAAATATGGATTCCTAATTATGCTCTAGTAGGCCTGATCTTCATGATTTCCTACTTCAGAGGTAAATGAGATCAAGTATGCAGCTGAGATGCTTCAGCTGTTGGAGGCAGTATGTCAACCAAAAGAAGTCAGTATTATACATTGTAGAGCACATTTGAGAGGTGACAGTGATAAAGTATGAGGCAATCGTATGGCAGACAGTGCTGCAAAACAAGCTGCAGAATCAAGACAGGAAAGTGACAACGTGAACTATGCTATTGTGCTTATACCGGCACCTTTAAATCAATGGACTCCGATATATGGATCTCAGGAGACAGAGGGGCTAAAAACTGAATCTGGAAAATACTTGGAGAATAATTGGTATCAGCTAGAAGATGGAAGAATAGTTATTCCTGCATCATTAGCTATAGAAATTGTCCAGAACATCCACAGCTGTACACACTTCGGAAGAGACAATATGGAAGATTCTCTCAGCGGACATTTCTATGTACCAGGATTATCAAATCTCACTCAAACCATCGCCAGACGTTGTGTGCAGTGCAAGAGCCTGCTAAGCCTCCCGGAGTTCAGTATATGGGAGGACTCCCTATGTCAGACTTCCAAGTAGACTTCACAGTTATGGCAAAATCTGGGGGATATCGTTACTTGCTGGAAGCGGTATGTACCCACTGTGGATGGGTTGAGGCCTGTCCAACCTGTACAGAAAAAGCTGGAGAAATTGTGCATTTTCTGCTACGAGAAATTGTGCATTTTCTGCTACGAGAAGTTATTCCTAGATATGGACTTCAGTGTTCTATAGGGTCCAGCTTTCGTACATCAATGCCTACAGCAACTGACTGACTGCTCACTCCCAGGGGACTTTAATAAATAAGACCCTATTAAGCACTACTACATCCTTAGGCGCCATATTATTCGATGCATGCAAAGCAATTTCTGGTAGTAGAAAACCGTGGAATATATGCACTAACCTTAAGTGGTAGCGAACATATGGGTTTATTGATAAATACCTATGCCCTAGTAGAAGAACCACTGACCCTGATTGTCCAAATAGGGATTTCAACTTCTGCCCATATTGGTCATGTGTAGGTTGGGCAACAGTAGACCAAGACCAGGAATTTGTTAGGGTAAGGTCCTTTCATTCCTGTTTGTCAGGAGTCCTTATAGAAGATATCATTAAAACTTAACGTTTAATAATGTATGCAATAAAAATGTTTGTTAAAACACCCTTAATACCAAGTTTCACACCAAGTGTAAAAAATGATTTCTAAAAAGAAAAAAAATATATATTTATATTTATATTTTTTTTAATTGAAAGGAAAGGGTAATGGATAAAATTAAGAGCTTTTAGTTTTATCCATTACCTTTTCCTTTCAATTAAATTTATTTTAATTGTTTTATTTTTTATTTTTATAAATCATTATTTACACTTGGTAGAAAACTTGGTAGTAAGGGTGCTTGAACAAACATTTTTATTGCATACATTATTAAACGTTAAAGGACCACTCTAGGTACCCAGACCACTTCAGCTTAATGAAGTGGTCTGGGTGCCTGGTCCAGCTAGGGTTAACCCATTTTTTCATAAACATAGCAGTTTCAGAGAAACTGCTATGTTTATCAATGGGTTAAGCCTTCCCCTATTTCCTCTAGCCGCTGTCTTATTGACAGCCGCTAGAGGCGCTTGCGTGCTTCTCACTGTGATTTTCACAGTGAGAGCACGCAAGCGTCCATAGGAAAGCATTATGAATTATGAATGCTTTCCTATCTGACCGGCTGAATGCGCGCGCAGCTCTTTCCGTGCGTGCGCATTCAGCCGACGGGGAGGAGAAGAGGAGGATCGGAGGAGGAGCGTTCTCTGCCCAACACTGGAAAAAGGTAAGATTTAACCCCTTTCCCCTTTCCAGAGCCGGGCGGGAGGGGGTCCCTGAGGGTGGGGGCACCCTCAGGGCACTATAGTGCCAGGAAAACGAGTATGTTTTCCTGGCACTATAGTGGTCCTTTAAGTTTTAACGATATCTTCTATAAAGACTCCTGACAAACAGGGATGAAAGGACCTTACCCTAACAAACTCCTGATTTAGTTCGCTTATGCGTTGATTTCATTACAAGGGGTTATCCCCCACACAGGAGTGTACACTTCTGTTTGAAAAACTTTTGGTTATCTAGTAGACCAAGACCTGAAAGTTCAAAGATTACCTACTACCCCTCATTGTAAATCAATGGAGTGTAACCCTGTACATATGACAATTTCAAATCCCCATTGTGAGGAAACTACCTTGTTTTGTTCGTTAACTTGGATATTTTCCGTTTGGTAGATAAAACTACCGAACACCGACCACTCCCCTGGCTCATTAACTACAAAGGGAACTGCAGATTTAGTGCTCTCTCTGTGTGGCCGCCGTTCGTATGGTCGAATGCTACGTGCTGGAGAAAACAGCCATCTTGTTGCACGAACAGAGGCAGCAGGACTTGGTCATCGAGTGTTTGGAACTAAAATCGGACACTCAACTTCACGAACGTTGGTCAACTTCACGAATGCCTGTTTTTTTTCACCGACCAGCCAGGAAAGCGCTATTCAGTAGATTTGTTTCCACGAACTAGGGGAAAAAGCGCTACCCATGAGCCAGGGGAACAGATTGCGGATTTGTTCGGTTTTAGAACTTTTGAGTGGTCGGTCAAAATGACTTCCATGGAAATCCCAAACCCCTCAACCGATCTGGGTAATTTTTGGATATGTTGGTCCCCCAGATCGGGGATATCAGGGGATGTGACTGCTGTGGGGTTTCCATGTGTTTTAGGGGTATTTTCGGGGTGTTTTTAAAATGTATGTTTCTTGTGCCTGGAGATAATTGAGTTTAGTACGGTTTCTGACTCAATTATCTCACAGGCACAGGGGAGGGATTATCATGTGTTGACCTGAGAAAGCATGTTTTTGTATGGAGTATGTTTGTGTGAATGTAGGGGTGTGTTTGTATGTGGCGTTTGAATGCAAGCATGCATTTATGTGTAGTGTTGGTTTTTAGTGTTGGTTACAATGTGTTTTGTCTTAGTCCCTTCTCAGTTCCAGTGGGGAATGCCCCTGGAATATGTCACGGTAAATCCCTTGCATGGGGACTTGCATGTAAACCGGCCAGTTGGCCTGAATAAATGCATTCCTGTTGTACCCTTCATCTAGTTTAGGCTGATGTTTGGGTATGCATCAGATTGCTGGGTGAATTTACTTGGATACTGCCTTGTTTTCTGGAGAACGTCTGAAGAAACACCCGAACTGCAAGCTATAATCTCTCAGCTGTTAGCAGTTCGGGAGGAACTGGAAGTGAATGGGTATCTGACATACCAGCGTTCATAACATCCATCAATTTATAAATAAGTTTGGGAATCATTTTGGTTTCCAAATATATGGTACAGGAACAGAACAGGGAGCCATCCCATATATAGCCTTTGAAACTGAGACCCTCAATGCTCAAACTCATCAGATATTCCACTCCTTTTATGAGGAGAAGTGTAGTGAAGATGAAGTCCGACATAAAGATGAAGTCCGACATACAGTTAAAAACCTTTTCATTGATCTGGTAGAGAGTATTGCAAGTAGTCTTAATATAACTAACTGCTTTGTTTGTGGAGGCACCAATATGGGAGATCAATGGCCATAGGAAGCAAGAGAATTATGGTACCCAGGTTCTGAAACAAATGAGCAACTCTAGTAATCAAGCAATCATACGGGAAAAGTCAGAATGGCAATTAAAGACATCCATAATTGGCCACGTAAGTTTAGCTAGGGCAGGTCCAATGTATACACCTGTAGGCGAGTTGACCTGTCTAGGTCAAAAAGCATATAATGCTAATAGTCAAAATACTACCTAGTGGTCGGCTTTAAATGTATCAGAACCTACTAATCCCTTTGCTAACTACACCAATTTAAGAGAGATATGGTTTATATTGGATTTGTGGTAAGAAGGCCTATTTGGAATTACCACAAGACTGGGCAGGGGCATGTGTGCTAGGCATGCTCAAAACATCTATTTTTTTTTTTTTTATTTAAACAGGAGAGACTTTAGGAGTCAAGGTGTATGATACAAATCATAAGAGAAAACGAGCATCATTAAATATAGGTAACAGGGAAGATGATGAATGGCCACCCCTGCGAATTATTAATTATTATGGACCTGCTACCTTGCATGCTCAATCGTATCATAAGATTCCAGGAGGTGGTTGAGATCATAACCAATGAGACAGCTGAAGCACCTGGCAAAACAAAATACCAGTATGAGGTCAGCCATTTATCAAAATAGGTTGGCCCTTGATTATTTACTAGCAGTAGAAGAAGGTGTGTGCAGAAAGTTTAATTTAAGTTATTATTATTATTATTGCCATTTATATAGCGCCAACAGATTCCGTAGCGCTTTACAATATTATGAGAGGGGATTTAACTATAAATAGGACAATTACAAATAAACTTACAGGAACAATAGGTTGAAGAGGACCCTGCTCAATCGAGCTTACATGCTATAGGAGGTGGGGTGTAAAACACATTAGGACAGGAATTTGCAATCAAATAAGGTGGGCTGCCCTTTAGGAGAGGGCAAGAGACAGGTATGTGAGGTAGGGGTTAGTCTTGGAGGCCATAAGCTTTCCTGAAGAGATGGGTTTTAAGGCACTTCTTAAAAGATGCAAGACTAGGGGAGAGTCGGATGGCGGTAGGCAGGCTATTCCATAGGAAGGGAGCCGCCCGCGAGAAGTCCTGCAAGCGCGAGTTGGCCGTACGGGACAATAAGTAATTGTTGTCTACAGATAGACGACGAAGGACAAGCTGTGATTGATCTTACTAGTCACATGGTTAAATTGATGCACGTACCTACTCAGATCTGGAACGGGTATAATTCAGGTAGTTGGTTCGGAGCTGGTATGAACAGTTTAGAGGGTTAAAGGCACTGGTAGGAGGAGTGGTCATTGTCTTATGTCTCTTACTACCCTGCTTGATTTCTTTAATAATACGGCCTGTACATAGTGTTATCGAGAATACTATTGAGAGGAAGATGGCAGCCCATGTAATGGCCATCTGGAGATATGAACCTCTATTCCAGAGAGAAGTAACCTGTAATCAGGTAGTTGAGCTTTGATAAGTTTACATAGGATCTTCTAGGGTTAAGTTTAAAGTTTCTCCTGTTCTGTATTTACCTGAGTGTTATTGGCAAAGTATGGTAAGTGATGCATCTGAAGTACGCAGTGTTTAAAGCATTAAAGGGGGAAATGTGAGGGGATCTCAGCTAGGCCCAAAATTTAGTAGGCCTAAAATCTCCACATGGCATATACAAGCACATGTATCTGTTAGTTAGTTACACGTAGTCAGTTCCATACTGTCTGTCCATATAAGGTAATCCTGTGTATCCTGTTTGCTGATTGGTGTAGCGGTTCAGATGGGGGATGTATAGTCTATAAAAAGCCTGTACTCCATGTGATTAGGGCTCAGACCTTGTACACTAGTAAACTGAGACCCGATGGGTGAAAATAAAGATCTTTGCTTCCTGAACTGACCTGCGTCCGGAGACTCTGTGTGTGGCGTCTTCAGTGTTTCCACTATAGCTAACGTGGATATATATTGAAATCCGTATTTCATTGTTTAGACCAATACATCTGATTTTAAAAAAATAATAATGGATAGATTTTTTTTCTTTTCCTTTTTTCAAATCAGATATTTTGGCCTAAACATTAAAATTTGAATTTCAATTTTTTACATTTTAACATTTAGTGGGTAAACCCCTGAGTATGTATGTGCCTGTTAAGTATACATGCTGAGTCATGCTGCACAGGTCATACTTGTAGATGTTGGACGAGATATTTACTGTTACACCTTACAAATCCAGAAGCCTCCATACAGTGCAAGCTCCACATGATTAGAACCATCAACACTCAGATCTGTGTGTTTCATGCATAGTAAAAGGTCATTCATTTATACATTTCCCCCCAGGCCCTCCTCTGGCTTGTAAGGCTGTTTTAAGACCCATGATATTTTCGATCACTGATAGCTTAACTCACCTATTTCCCTAGCATAAATGCTAAGTAAGCACAACTCTAGGGAATTAGCAGGTGTAAACCTGTCCGCTACAAACTCTGTCTCTGTAGCTTTACATAGTAAAATCTGTAAAAATAAATACATCGAACATAGTAATAGACACACTCCAAGCTTAACCCTTTCAGTGCTGCAGGAGAGAGCTGCATATAGTGCTTCTTTTTCTTGTGGCACGGAACAAAATTAAATAATAATAAATTGCTTAATGAATTAATAAATAAATCATGCTGGGGTCTGTGCAAGAGTTTTAGGCAGGTGTTAAAAGTGCTGTATAGTAAGAATGCTGGGGGTCAGTGGATAGCTGGGGTGCGCTGACATGGAGGATGGTGAAAAAGGTAAGCAGCTTCCACGTACATTTGGGAGCTGGATACAAGGTTTTTCTGTTTTTGCAAGCATCTTATCATGGTGTTTCCCGGAGAAGGCTCCATTGTTGCTCGTTTATTTGGATTTGGTTTAAAGGGCATACACAGGGCCGTCTTTAATATTGATTGGACTCTGGGCAATCATTTGCTTGGGCCTCCTGAACCCTACCCCGCCACCTCCCCCTTCACTCCCTGGCATGCAATCAAGCCCTCAACCCCAACGCAGTGACGGACTACAGTAGAAATAGCCCTAGTGCAAGAATTTTATTGGGTCCCCCAATCGTAAGGGTGGCCAGAAGGTAGATCCCTATCTGTTGTGCAATTCCAACAATGCTTTGACAGCTGTGGCTGTACCATTTCCCCATGCTTGCAAGGTTGTATTAACCCTGAGCCGTATTGGTGTGTTTGAATGTAAGCATGTTTTTGTATCGAGTATGTTTGTGTGAATGTAGGGGTGTGTTTGTATGTGGCGTTTGATGCAAGCATGCATTTATGTGTAGTGTTGGTTTTTGAATGTAGGGTTGTGTTTGTTTATTTTTGGAGTTTAACACCAAAATGTGTGTGTGTGTTTGTATATAATGTTGATGTTTCAATGCAGAAGTGTGTTTGTATGTAGTGTTGAAGTTTGAATGCTGTGGTGTATTTGTATCTAGTGTTGGTGTATCAATGCTAAGATGTATGCACATACGCTGCCACACACATACTGTGATACACATACACACAGATACACACTGACACAAACCACATGCAGATACACAGATATACACACTGACACACTTGCAGATACAGACAAATAAACTGACGCAGATACAGACAAACAGATACACAACCTGATACACATGCAAATGCTCAGACACCACAGGTATACAAAGTGAAACGAACAAACTAATTGTTTAGGTGATATGCCCCACCACCTAAACACAAAAGTGAGAGGGCAGCGCTGAATAAATTGTTACTTACCCCTTCAAATAGTATGGGGTGTATTTACATGCAATAAAAGACAAAAAATATACAAAAATGTGCAATATGTTTCAAAAGTATCCAGAGAGTGAAAAATTTATATATAGTCTCACTCACATGCTACAGAGCCTTTTGGATATAGGCTCTAAATTCTAGGCGTTTGGGGCCCTTTAAGGTGGCTTCCAAACCTTCTTCTATATCGTTTTTTCTTTCTCAGGATTATATGGAAGATAAAAACAATCCAACCATCTAGGTGCAAACAGTTTGACCCAACATATACAGAGGAAATCAAATTTAGCAAGAAATTTGCTCACCTTTTTGGGAGCCTGTTTTAGTATAGCTGGCTCCCAACTTTATGTGTGGTGTCAATTATTTGGGTGACACTACCCTGTAGGAACCTGGGATTCCGATGTGATGGAATAAGGATAAGAAGTAAAATTTATCAAGGGATTTATTGCAAATTAAAAATAATTACAACAGAGTATAAAAACTCCAAAAATAAAACAATAATGTAATAGTTGAAAGTCCTTGCAGAAATGTCCAACCAAGACGCGTTTTGCCGTGCGGGCTTTTTCAATTGGTGTACTTTCCATCCGTCCCAGTCCAGTTTTTAAATACCTGGTGGCTCCTCCTTCTTCCTACGTATTTTATAAGGACGTTATAATCGAAACTTTAATTATAAAACTGAAATATATAAAACCTCTGTAAGTACATATTTATTCAAAGCAAAATATTTAAATAAAAAATTGAATAAATTACTTAATAAAACAAAATATCACTTAATACAATACTTAAAGTTTTTTTTTAAAAAAAACTACTTTGTGACTTTTTTTTTTTACACAAAAATGGCATAATTCGAAATCTTCATTCAACCTTGATGGGCTTAGATTGTTAAGATTGAAGATCTATTTCATCTCACATTTTCCAAATGTTTTGATATTATCATCACCTCACCAATTATATTTTACTTTCTGAATGGCCATAAATTTTAAAAATTGTAAATCACTATTGTGTACTACTTTAAAATGTCTGGAAACACTGTGTTTTTGGTATCCATTCTTTGTTTCTTACATGTTCATTCATTCTTACATTTAGGGGCGTTTGGTTCTCCCTACATAGCTTAATTTACATGTGCAGGTTAAAAGATATAAAAATTTTTTTGAAAAGCACATTATCGTATCTTGAATTTTATTTTTATCATGTGGGTCAGGCCCGGACTGGCCATCGTGCATACCGGGCAAATGCCCGGCGGGCCGCAATGGTCGTGGGTCGAGGCCGGCCCTGCTGTGTGCCTTCATGGGCCGGTGAGGGAGATCAAAGATCTGTACACATACACTGATAGACATACTGACAAACACACAGACAGACATACTGACACAGACAGACAAACTGACACACACAGACATACTAACAGACAGACATACTGACACATGCACAGACATACTGACACAGACAGACAGACATACTGACACACACTCAGACAGACATACATGTAAAATTTAAATATTTAAACCCATCCTCCAGTTTCTTACCTTTTTTTGGAGGGTGGCTTCCCTGAGGCTGATGGGAGTGAGGAGCCCCCCTCCCCACTGCCTTCTCCTCCTCCCTCCTTTGCGGCTCCTCCTGTACAACTCCTCTCTTTATGGGAGGAAGTGACTTGCGGCTGTCATTTCCTCCCAGACAGCTGCCGAAAAGTGCATGGGCCACCCGGTGGGCCTACTTAGTGTGTGGGCCCCCGGCTGGCAGCAATGGCGAGGGGGAAAAATTATTGAGGACAGCGGGACCCACGGGGCAGCTGCTTTGGGCCCCCTGAAGTCAGTGGGCCTGGGGCAGCTGCCCCGCATTAAAGATGGTCCTGGGCGTATAAAATCTAAGGGGTCAGTACTGGTTCCGATATGACCAGCAGTTTTGCCAGAAGATGGCGGTTAGTCCTGGAATGGACTTTAGGGTGCAGGACACCAGCTTATGGCTGCTGTTGATTAGCCTCTGTTACCCATCCCCCTTTCCAGGCACTGCCCCCTAACACACACCAGTTAGATCTTCAATGAGAGCCATTGCAGGTGTATGGCTCCTGTAGATTCAAACACGAGTGCTCACACTGTGGAGTAGCCCCCGCATTGAACTGTTTTAAAAAATTTAAGCAGGGGCCCCGGTCCTCTAAGGATGACATTCTAGGACAGAGGATGCCGGTGAGTGTGGAAAGGATGCACCCGTATCCTTAGCGTCGGGAGGCGAAGGTTTTGTTTGATGGGTTTTCCGTGGGTTTTTGGATTACATTTGTTCATTGGTAACCTACTTCGGTTGCAGGTAATTA